GGATTTGGTTGTAAACAATATTGTTCGCCTATATATTTTGCTCTAATTCATAAGTTGGGAATTTTCGAAATGATGTCATTTCATAGATTTCGTGTAGATAGATGACTTGAAGTCAGTGTCCATCACAGAGTGGCATTAGTTGGAAAGCTTTGAAAATAAGGTAATAATAAGCAGTTCTTTATTTATAGTTTGAAATTCCACAAGAACTCCGTTCGAACTTTAGGTCTTGTGACAAGAATAACACCATTTAATTGAAATTCAATATTACATACATTCATATTTAGTAGCACAGTCATCCCCTATATGACTATTCTCTTAAATAAGAAACTGTTGTTATTTGGGTTACGAGACTTTAATCCAGTTTAATTTCCAAATGTTCACCTGGATCAGAAATAAGTTTTGAATAACAGTGTTAACAGGAAATCACAAAAAAGCGTCTAAGATAATAATAGAACGGTTTATTCATTTTCACAACAGACTTTTGATCTGAATTCTGTCATCAACAGATTTCTAAATTACCAAAAGCACTCGTCAATAGTTTTACAATTGTCAGAAGTTCACATTCACCTGATGTTTCCACTTTCTATCTGATCTAATGGTAAATAAGTTTCATAGAATCTGTACATATTACAGAAACGTTATGTTTAAATATAATATACTACAACAATCTGCTATATTATGTTACCTCTATAACGAATGTTTAACACTATCGATGCCTATAATTAATATACTGTAAACACTGTAACATTAAAACCTGACCTCATTTAATACACTTATTGCATCATACAAAATTTTTAATCTTTCAGTTGTCGAATACTTACATTTTAATGGATTGCATTATTCAATCAATCAATCTAATCAATAACTTTTACCTCGTAATAATAGCGTTCACAATAGTTTTAATAAAAGTAATCACAGTGACAGTTGGTTAATGGTATTTCCTAATTCTAGAACAGATTTAGCACACAAATTTATTCAATCTTTTATATTCAGCACACCGTTGTTTATCTCTTTCTTTCTTTATATATTTCTATAAGTCTGATTATTCATAACAAAAATATAATCATGAAGGATACAGATCAAAAACACAGGTCAGTAACTAACAAAACATTAGTGTATGAATTATGTTTACCAAATTAAAAAATATTGATTAGTTATTTGACAATCGATATCTTTGTATTAAAGTTGAACTGAAATGTTAACCCTCTGTTTAACGTACTATATACATTTATCCTGATTATTATAAATTTAAGCCTATGGACAGATTTTAAAGTGAATTTCTTTTAATATGCTTTCCATATACTGTCTATTATTATCTGATAAAGAGTTAAAACACTTAATTTCATAACACTAAGGTGCAAATAAGAACTTGGCTTTATTTACTTCGTGTATTCTCACTAACTCGTATAATTACATGTGTTTCATAATCTAATATATGGATTTGTATTTGATAAATAAACAGGATTAAACTAATTAAAGATTTATAATAAAATTAGGAACTCGGTTACTGACATTTAATAGAGGAAAACTAAACTGTAAGTCTTACAATTTGAACAATATATCTTTTCACAAACAGGTATCTTCCCTCATTGTTTTTCTTATTATTAATAATACAGTAAACGTGATTCTGATGTGAAACTTTAGAAAACAGGAACCCTGATTCATCATAAAGTGGATGTTGAACTGTTTTTTATTTTCAATACAATTTCTACAGAAAGTGTAAGAAGAAAAATATAGTTGGTATAAGGTCAACTATGTGTATAATAGTCAATTGAATCAGTCATGAGTGTTAAGTACTACTATCATGATATCTCAATTCTTTTAAATTGAGCATAAATAAAGTCCACTTATTGTTGATGATAGTGATTTAAAATATGTCAACATAAAGCAAGTACGCTTAACATCAAGTTAAATCGACTAGATTAAGTGGGAAAACAGTTTCCAAATCGTTATATTTTAAACTATTCATGCCGTAAGAAAATGGATATAATGCATTGTTACGTAAAGTTGTTTATTTTCAAATACTATATTCCTGTTGACTTACCATTTGGACTGAATGTTTGATTTTTGGTGAACTCTGTATAAATAGCCCAGTAGGGTATGTTAAACAGATTACATCTCTATCAGTTGTATCTAACAATATTTATTTATCTTAAATGTAAGCATAACCAACTTCATATAGGTGTAACAACCCTTGAGAATTAACTGTTTTGCACAAAACTCTTATAAGAACATTTCCCGTTAACCGTATGTTTCAAAACAAGCAGTTTCTCGATTTACTAAGACCAAAAATGATTTATCAAGAATTTTAACACTGTAGATACGTAGCAAGCTCCTCAAAATTTTGATTTACTAAGTGAAATCCTTTCCACTTCCTTAAAATACAGTTTCCTATTTTGTCTCAACAATAGTTTCTTTTCACAATATAATGTTGACTTTTAGTTCCAGATATAACATTAAAGTTTACTTCGTTTAAATAATAAGTTAAAAGAGATGATTTTTACTTACCTTTAAAAGTAATAAAAAAAATGATCTATTGAATTTCAAGATAATGATCATCAAAAATAGCAAACACTTGAAAATGTTGTGCATTAATAGTATGGAGTTTATGAGTTGATCAATTTCATATTGTTTAGAGAAACCCTTATTCATTGTTTACAATTATTCATAACTTGTACACAAAATGTTACAAAACAAATTTTGTTTACAAAATATGTATCACTTTCTTCATTGATAAGAAAGAGCAAACTAAATTATCGCATAATATGTGCATTCATTCATTAGTATTCTAATGATTCATAGGACAAATTAATCACAAGTGAGAAAATGATAACGAAATAGAAAATAAGATTTATGAGTTGCAATGTGTAAACAGAGACCACAGATTTATTAGCGAGTAAACAAAGAGTATTTAACACTCTCTAGTGTATAAACAACTTCCATGATATGTTTTCGTATAACAACTACATGGATGTTTGCACAAGATTAAGACTTGTTAGTTAATACCAAAAAATACGAGACTGTTGAAACATTATAACTAATTAGTTGAACTAGTTTTATACAGTTTTCTTTCAGCTTAAACGAAATTATGAGTTCTGGATGATATTCTACTTTGATAGCGATTTGTTACTGAACGATTTTTATAAACTGGGTTCAAAGTTAATTCTTTTTTCCTGTTTTTTTTTTTCGAACTAATATAAATTACTTGAGAGTTATGGTATGTTATATTACAATACTTAATATAAGGATCAACATTCTGGTAATTATTGCTTGCATTATGCTATGCTGTGAACTCTTCTTTATACTACTTACTGATGATTCACGTAATGGTAATACTATTAACTGTGATAACTGTCCAATCAATTTGATAAAATATTGAAATGTAAACAGTAAATTGTATGTAATAGCTACAACGTCTTTATTATGAAACAATATAGGATTTTTAAGCAAATGAGTTTATTCAAGTTTATAATTCTTAAAAAGAATCATTGAATTTGTCGCTTTTTCCCCCACATATCTTTTGATTCGTGTATTGATTGTTCGAACTAAATGAATGTCCTGTCTCAAAGACAATCAGTAGGTGATCAAAGATCTAAGTTCCTCTCATTTTAACACTTAACACCAGCTATATACACTTATAGGTTCAAGGGACATTTAAGATCACAACCAGAACAAAACACTGTGAATCGAACTTGCTGTAAACGAAGGAATCAGTAAGATAACCTGGTTACCATTTGGTAACCTTATTTTCTCTATCTAATAGATCCCATCGTAGTCTTTACATTGTCTGGTTCGAGAATAAGTAAACGTGTAGCTGTGAAGGAACTTGAGACAGTAGACTATATGACTGTTTATATTCACCTTCGAGTTGAAACATGTTTTTTGGTGTCTGTACAAAATGATAAAAACTTTGTAAATAATTAAACTCTTTATTCTTGTACTGAAATATATTCATGTACGTCAGCAGTCTTTTTCATTATGCTTGCGCTAGTCTATTCTGATAATGTGGTATTTGTGACTGATGTTGATAGATATAAATGGTGTGTATTACCAATCGAAAGTTGAATGCCTGACGGCAGATAATTAAGAAAATCGAAGAAAAGAAAACGAGAAAAGTGTGTGATTGGTATGTAAACGAAGGAACATCAAAGTCTAAGACAATTGATTGACATACTGAAAATGAACTATTTACTGTATGATTCTCAAATTTTATTAAGACATTCTGTAATGTTGTACGAAAACATATTTGTTTGTTGCCATTCATGTTCTCTTTCACTACAATATTACTATCTGAACTCTTTCAATTCAACGTTTAGATTGAAAACCGGCACATTTGGATTATTCTATTTCTATTCTATAACTTCTAGATTTATATTTGTATTAAGTATTGAAACAACACTTATTAGCTAATAATGACCAGTTCGTCACATTAATTTATTTTGTTTGCTTAAAAGAGATGAACAAACCCATTTTCGTAATACTACTACTATTATTATTATTACTATTACTATTATTACTACTACTACTATTATTACTACTACTATTACTACTACTACTATTATTACTACTACTACTATTACTACTACTACTATTATTACTACTACTACTATTACTACTACTACTATTATTACTACTACTACTATTACTACTACTACTACTAATAATGATAATAATGATAACAATAATATAATCAAACACAAAGTAGTATCATGTGAGAATGTTTAGTACTTTAGTACTTTACTTCACCTTATCCTCAAGAAAATGAGTTTATAAATGAGTAGAAAATGCACACAAGTGTGTACATGATTATCATCATTGTTTATTATTATTATTATTATCCAATTAAAATTCATTGATGAAAGATTATTATTTATAATCATTTGAGGAAAACTATTTTCATTAATTTTCTTTCTTTTTACTTCCAATTTTGTTGATAAACTCAATTATTACAGTTTTTTATTTCAACTTAATAATAAACAATCACTAATAACATTAATAAAATGGTATTAAGAAAAAAGAAAACAACACCAACACCTACTACTTCACCTGCTTCTTCAAAAACATCACCAACATCAATAAACACAACACCAACACTGGTCGATATGAATCAATCACAAACAAAATATTCCAGTTTTAAAGTTTTTATTGAATATTGCGTAGAAATTGATGCTAATCAAACATTTACTTCACAACATTTGGATGCACCTGTATCAGTTAAACATGGAATAGTAAAATTTGTCAATATAGACAGAAGTTTATTATTAATGTTGACAATGAAAGAAATGTTCTTAGATAAACCATTATGGTGGCCTGGTACATCAGAATTATGTATTACTTATGAACAATTACATGATATAATTGAGTCAAGATCAGATGAGAGAAAATTTGCTTTGGATATTAAATCATCCAATCCTGGTAAGCGTTTAATTCATGTATTTTCAGCTGTCAATAGGAAAGAGAGAAATGAATTGTTAGCAACGATAAGTAAGAATGCTCAACAATATCAACAAATAATGACTCAACAAAGAGCTATTCAACAACAACAAGCCACATATTATTTAAGTCAAGCTAGTGCACAAAAATCATCAACATCATATGTAGATCAAACTTTAAACTCAAAAGAAGCAAATGTTACTCCTGTTGTTACAACCCCACAAAAAAAGAGGTCATCTGGTAGATTTTCTAGAAAGACTGCCCTCAAACCACCTCTGAAACCACTTTCATTTGAAGATTTTCCACATTCTGCTAATAGTAGTTCACCAAGAGTATTCAATTTTAATGACGTTGATTGTGAAGCCTTTGGATATTCACCAACTATTTATCCGGTTAGTAATCAAAATGACTCTTCAAATATGAAGTTTAGGAACAGGTCTTTAAGTCCAACTCCATTGCAGTGTACAACACCAGAAGTTTATCGCTCTAAACCAAATTTTACATCTCGTTATTCAGGACATGAAGACAAAGGAAATCAATTCGATGGGCCGTTGTCATATACAAGACCATTATCCAAATCTCAACCACAACTAGCCTATTCATATGATAACACATATTATCGTCGTGATGAATACACTCCAAGATATGAAAGTCAAAATAACTACAGATCTCCTGGTTATGCTTCATATTCACCAATTGTCCCTAAATATGCAAATTCAGCCTCAGCAGGAACACCTCATGCACCGAATCGTATTGTTCACTACAATGATGATGAAGATGAAATCGGTTATGATAACGGCGGTTCTAATTCAAAAAGTTTTAAAGTGGATGGAGATGATTTAGTCTTAAAAATCAATTGTTATAATCCAGAGAATCGTTCTAAATCTCCAAGAACCACACATGTAGTTCGTATTAGTCATGAAGATAATAGGGAAAATAATAACAGAAAGTATTAAACTCACTGTATTGTAATGAATGATATGAAACTATATTGATATACTACTCATTTTTTTCTGTGTGTATGTGCCTGAGTTTTTTTCAAAAAAAAAAACACAAAACTCTTTAGTTAGGTAACACCAACCAAGTTTAATAAACATATTTTTGTTTATTTTTAATCTAGAGGATACAAATTTTTCCCTCAATTGAAAGAGTGTCTTTTTTTTATGAAAGAATGACTCTTGCTATGATATTTATTTAAAACATAGATAGCATATGATTGTTTTATGATTTTGAACTTTAATAGTATCAAAGTTTATTCAATGTGTGTTTTCTCTTTAATTACTAAACTAGTGTTGTTATTTTCATAGCTATTTATTAATAAAATTATATCCCATTATTTATTTAGTCTAACCATATTATTAATTTTTTGAGTAACAATGGGATGGGGGTCGATGTTAATTGACATTGGTGACTAAATGTTTATCTCATCAAAATATACATCGTTGCAAAAGTGTTTGAACTCAATCTCAAGTTATCAAATTTTTTATTATTTAACAAATTGAACAAAATTCAATGATCATTATTTTCCTAATTTCATTAAATCAATATATCAAGCATACATTATGCCTTAATGTTTTTATTTAGTATGTCTCCTCACATCTATAACTTTTATTTAGAAATAAAGGGATTTTCTTTTTGAAACAAGTCAGGGATTTGATGCATAGTTCAGGATCTAATAAATTTCTATAGATTTTTTCAAATTGGCTTACAGTGTAGTGAATGAAAATTTGGTAAGGACAAGTAATTTATTGCTTATCGTAAAATCACATAGTGATTTTGTAAAATAAAATCATTTGTTAAATACATTATTTGCATATCTTCTTTGCATTGTTTTTGACATACTTCATTATTCCTCTAATTTTGTTGTTATTTTTGACTACTCTCCAACTTACATCCTGTTCTCTTCATTACAATCTTCCACTGTCAGGCATTGGTGCTACATACTACTTATATCTGTCAGCATACGTAGTAGTAGTAGTAGTAGTAGAAGTAGCGAAAGCTGACTTTTCCATTTTATTTGCTTGTCATTTCTTCGATACAAAAATTACTTTAATTTGTGATTCAATCTTTAATAAATTGAATACTTTGAAGTAACTTCATACAACTTAATTAACTTTGTGAACTATAACAATCGCACTATTATTTACTTTATCGATAGATTTTAAAATATTCTATTGAATGCACAGTAACATATTATATTGATTAATAAAGTTATTGATGCTTATAAGCATTCTATAATGGTCTCGAATATACTTTAAAATGATATTTCTTTTATAAATTATCATATTTTGTAATAATAATGATATTAAAGATATCAGAAAGTTATTACTCTGACGTGGTAATAATTCTGTCACGATTCAGCGAATACTAGAGAATGAAATGTAAATCGAAATTATAGTAGTATTGACTTGATTTATTGAAATGAATGGGTTATAAAATGTTTCTATATCCTATTATTAACTAAGTAATTGATAAATCATAGGACAGTGGATACTTTTAAATCAGTACTTTTTATAGTCTTTTAGTGGCCCGGGATCTAACTCCAATTAAATTGTATGAATGATTGCTACTGAAATATACATCCTAATTATTCTCGTATATTATTATCAACTTATACGAGAATGCATGTTTGAATGCGTATATTTTGTACACTCGTTGGTCGGAATAGACAATCAGAGAATCGCAGCAAATGAGATGAAGAAGAGATAGCGAGGCGAAGCGAAAGGATGCGCGGTGAGCTGGCTTCCTTTAATCAAGCGTTAATCAATATTTATAGCCAGATAAAAATAGGTTACAGGCATGTGGTGAATAAGATAAGAAGTGCACACACATACGCTCATATAAAAACAAATCAATGTTGATAAGCGAATAATTAACATGGTCAAAATGTAGCTTGATAGGAATGAATAAACTGGCTTGTCTGGAAGTTACAATATGCTATGTGGGCTGGACATAGAACCATCCACTACAGTCACAATAATATATAGTTTAACTAAATATTATATGAATATGGTTAAACTTTTGTTTGAAATTCGCGTCTTTTCATATTGATTGACTAGTTTAAGCAAATAATAGAATAAATGGTAAATCTACAAACTACCATACAACTTTATCTGGTTTATTCTTCTTTCGATTGCATTTGGACCCGTTACAAACTCTGAACACACACAAACACACACAAATAAGCACAAGAGATAAGCACAAGAAGATAAATGTCCTTAAATTTCAGGTTAAATATAGTAATGTATTGTTTTTAAAAGTAATATTTTATTAATAAGCTGATGGTCGATGACCAGTATACAATTGTAAATGACTATATTACTTATATGATGGCATTTATTATTGAATAATTAAATCTATGTAGATTTCCTAAATAATGAATTAATAAGAAAATAATAAATAAATTTGAATAATCTAAGTAATAAGTTATAAAATTCCATATTTTATGGGTATGTTTTAGCATAATTTCAAAAGAATTCTATACTTACTATTAGTTGTAACTGACATATGAATTTGTGCATTTTAAGTTAGTTTGGTTGTTAAAATGTACTTGGGACAAGATCGGAGAAATTGATCTATTATAACATATGATTGTAAGCCTTAGATAATATGATTTCAAAATTAGTTGCAGAATACATTTTTCACTTCCCAACAGATATTAGGTCAGATCGTTTTGAATGTAACAAGGGAATGCATCATTTTTTGGGATTTGTTGTTTCTTCCTTAGACTGCAAGTTTTCTGAAGTAATGGTAAGAAGATGCGAACTAGTTATGTATACGGAGTGAATGAATGATATTTTCAAGCGAATATCATATTTAGAAGGGTGTTAGACATATGTTCAACCGCCAAAAATGTATTACATAAGCCACAAACTCACTTTTTGCCTACATAAGCGGGACTTGAAATAAAAAACTCTGAAAAGCGTAGTAGATTTCCTTTGCTCCACTCAGTTATTAATTAAAAAACCTAATTTAGACCCAGTATCGATTCCGTGTCAACATGTGAAACTTCTAGGTCATCTTACTTACTTACGCCTTTTACTCCCAATAAAGCATAGGCCACCGACCAGCATTCTCCATCCCACTCTGTCCTGGGCCTATCTTTCTAGTCCTATCCAATTCTTGTTCATTCTTCCCATGTCTATCTCCATTTTCCGGCGTAATGTGTTCTTTGGTCTTTCTCTCCTTCTTTGGCCTTTTTGGATTCCATGTGGAGGCTTGTCTTGTGACACAGTTGAGTGCTTTCCTTAATGTGTATCCTATCCACTTCCTCCACTGGGATATGGTTTGTTCTCTCCCATAGTAGGTTGTTGCTGATAATGTCTGGCCAATGGATCCAAAGTATTTTGAGTAGACAACTGTTAATAAATACTTGTATCTTCTGGATGATAGCTTTCGTAGTTCTCAAGGTTTCTGCCCCATACAGTAGAACTGCTGTGACATTTGTATTGAAAATTCCGACCTTGGTGTTGATTGACAGATAGCTTTTTTGAGTTCCAGATGTACTTCGGTTGTAGATATTCTGCTCTTGCTTCGCCGATCCGCGCTTTCACATCTTCATCAGATCCACCGTGTTCATCAATGACGCTGACCCGATATGTAAAGGTTTTTACACCTTCCAAATCTTCTCCGTCAAGTGTGATCAGAGAATCTTGCTCTTCACTTCGGGTATATTGAGATCTACTGCTCCTGAGGCTGCTACACTGGTCTTCTCCTACATTTGTTGTTGCGATAGAAGAGCCAGATCATCTGCGAAGTCTAGATCATCCAACTGCATCCTAGATGTCCACTGTCTTTATGATCCAATCGATCACCAAGAGAAAGAGAAAGGTTGTGAGTAAGCAACCTTGCCTGACACCGGTCTTTACTTCGAACGACTTTGTCAACTGTCCTCCATGGACAAATTTGCAGTTTAATCTATCGTAGGAATTCTGTATGATATTGACTATCTTCTGAGGCACTCCATAGTGTCGAAGAAGCTTCCATATTGTTTTTCTGTCTGTGCTATCAAATGCTTTTTCGTAGTCAATGAAGTTGGTGTAGAGTGACGAATTCCATTCAACTGATTGTTCCACAATGATCCGTAGAGTTGCGATTTGGTCTGTGCACGATCTATCCTTACGGAATTCTGCCTGTTGGTCGCGGAGTTGGGCGTCTACGGAGTCCTTCATCCTGTTTAACAATACCCTGTTGAAGACTTCCTGGTATTGAGAGAAAAGTGATTCCCCTGTAGTTATCACAGTTGCTGAGATCGCCTTTCTTTAATATTTTGACCAGAAGTCCTTCTTTCCAGTCTTTTGGTACCTGTTCCTCATTGCAAATCTTTCTGAAGCGAATGTGAAGTATCCTTGCAGTTACCACTACGTCTGCTTTCAGTGCCTCTGCTGGAATGTTGTCTGGTCCTGCTGCTTTGCCACTCTTGATCTGCCTGATGGTCATGCTGGTTTCTTCAATTGTTGGTGGGCCAACATCGATTGGGGGGGTCCGTGGGTGCTGCTTCGATGTTGGGTGGGTTCAGTGGAGCTGATCTATTCAAGAGTTCTTTGAAGTGTTCTACCCATCTGTTTCGTTGTTCTTCAATGTTGGTGATTGCCTTGCCTTCCTTACTTTTCACTGGTCGTTCTGGTTTACGGTGATTTTCAGAGAGTTTCTTTGTTGTGTCATACAGTTGTCTCATATTTCCTTCTCTTGCAGCCTTTTCCGCCGTCATTGCCAAATCTTCCACATATTTACGTTGGTCGGTTCTGATGCTCCTCTTCACTTGCTTGATTACTTCTGTGTATTCAGCTTGTGCCTTGGCTTTCTCTGCTCCTGTTTGGCTGGTATTGATTGCTGACTTCTTGTTCTTCCTTTTTGAATCTTATCCAGTGTATCAGCAATGATCCATTTTTTGTGATGGTGCTTCTTGTGGCCCAGAACCTCATCTAATATCCTTTATTACATGTATTGAAAGATG